AAGAAATATTTAGAAATGCACTTGCGACGCTAAATACACAAGGCTATGGGCCAAGTACTGGAGATGGGATTAGAATAGTGAGCTGCTTGTTTTTGACCGGTGCTGAAATATCAGGCCCAATGGTCGTTTTCTGTACTGTAGAACTCCAGGAGTCTATGAGAAGCACGAAACCGTCAGCTCCAACTGGTGGAGGTAGTGGGGGATAATTTTTAGCTAAGCAAGATTACAGTAGAACCAGACAATGAGGCAGCATAAATAAAGAGCGCCTTATTCAACCACAACAAAACCTATATATATGTACAATATAGGATATACAAAATTCATTGGTTTCAATCATTTTCAGTGCAGGGTCGCGCATACATTCCGCTACATGCACAACTCTTTCTTCATATGCTGAATGTGTGAGGAGAGAGAAACGCCTGGCCTATAAAGGAACTTTGCACTTTGCAATATTCCTCCCCCACCGTTAAGCGCACTCTCTGCTGTGCAGTTCTGCGCCTATTTGCCCGGGTTAACAGCATGTTGACAAGAAATTTTATAACACAGAGTCAACCAAATCATTTTTTAAAAATTTAACTAACTCCGAGAGAGGGAAAGAAAATAAATCAATCCCCGCACCGTCCAGTGGAATTTTTAAAACATCCCGGACAGTTTTACTCATAGTCATAGAGATCTACAGCGCGGAAACACACCCTTCGGTCCAACTCGTCCATGTCGACCAGATATCATAAATTAATCTAGTCCCATTTGCCAGCATTTGGTCCATAGCCCTCTAAACCCTTCCTATTCATGTACCCATCCAAATGCCTTCTAAATACTCAAGAGTTTCATTGTCTGGATGGTAATTATTTGCGAATATTTTTGTACATCTGTATTTATAGCCTTCAATTGTGTCGTTTATTTAACAAAGGTCTGGCCCGGGATTCTCGCTTTGATTCTTCCAGCCGGTTGATTGGGCAGCTGACTTTATCAGTAACTAATTTCTGAAGAAGGGTCCAGACCCGAAACGTCAGCTTTCCTGTTCCTCTGATGCTGCCTGGCCTGCTGTGTTCATCCAGCTCCACACTGTGTTATCTCAGACTCCAGCATCGGTAGTTCCTACTATCTCTAATGTCACTAGGAAGAGTTTCAGGTTCCATTTCAGTTACAAACAGTTGCTCATTGTAGCTCACACGTCCCTCTTTATCTTTTGATGTGGATTTCACAGCTTTAAAAGAAAATATAAATTGAACTTTTGTAGAGATCATTACTTGAAAGTAAATCATTTTAAACATATCCAGAAGGCGTCGGCCTCGAACAGACAGGAGTCATATCGAATTGCTCATTATTTCGGGGTTGGAGAAGGGCAGGGGGTATGGGAATGAGAGGGGATTGGGTGGGATCCTTGCTATGAATACGCGCCCTTCACTATATCACTCGTTTCTGAACGTTTCAATCTCATTCCAGACAGTACAGCTTCACTCCCGGTGGTATAATGGGAGCTCTGTACCCTGCATGTGGGGGTGAGCTGTTTTCCGATGCAGAATCTAAGGGTTTGTCGTGGACAGTAGACATAAAATACCATGATCTCAGGTTTATACCACACTGTAATTGACACTGGCACTCGGTTTTTGAAAGTTCTTTTCATCCAAGGATTCTAACGATCTGCTCTCATTTATTGAGGATGACCTACCTGCTCGCTCAGTTCATAAACTATCCCGTCTGTCTTTCCAGACAAGGGAGATAACAAGGTGTAGAGCTGAATGAACGCAGCAGGCCAAGTTTCCAGACATTTGTTTTGTGGACAGTACTTGTTATTTCTCTCTCTCTCTCTCTCACACACTCACACACCACCCACATTATATTTTCGTCATCGGATACCACACCCCGTTCTTAATTAAATCAACCTCAGTCTTGGCTTCTCCCGGTGTAATTAAGAAAAACGAAACGGCCTGTTTTCTAAACTGGTCAAATTAAACTAATCATGAGTTAAAGACGTCACTTTGTTTTCTGGAGCAGGCGGGATATAATGGTCTGGGTCGCATTAACATTCTAATCTGTGTAGAAAATTAATAATAGGTCATATCGATTTTCGTTTATTTAAGTTCATGTCAGCCGAGGTTAGTGGTCCGGGTGATGTTCTCATGTTATCACGATGTGCCCGTGATGTATTGCAAACCACCTGCATCCCGTAAAAACACTCACACTTCTTTTTAACAATAAAACACATAACTGGGAATAGTAACATTTGTATAACGCATCGACTTTGTGACAAAGATTATTCTGACACTGTCTCAGGGAACTGACCAACATTTCCCTCTCTAATGTTGGCCACTTCAATGCTTGTAAATAAAATAAACACTTGTAAGCAATTCAAAGTGTGCTTGTTAGGGGAGAAGAGGGATTTGAGACAGTAAAATATCTGTGTGCACTCCTCAGCCATTCACGTTTTTAACAAATGTAACCAATAATTTAAGATCGTAAAATTCCTGTAAGACTTTTTTTTAAAAAAACATATTGGTAGAAGCGTTATAATCAGGGGCCTATGAGCATCAGGAATAATGCAGCCCTGGACCAGCTCCTCTGTTCTATCAGTTCATGCTGGTCTGCATCTCAAACACATTCGCTCAAGCCCGCTCCGGTCCTCGCCCGCCTCAGACAAACATTCAACAAACTTTGTTCTGGTCGCTTCATTTGTCCCTCGGTCTCAGAGTGAGATTCATAATTATATTAAGGTTTTGGTTTTAAGAAAAAGTGTTACCTGAGTTTTAGATCACGTTCTCTTGTTCGTGATATATTGCGTTAGATAGATTTTTAAAGTATATTTCATTTAGAGGATGAGGGTTTCGCTAGCTGGGCCAGCATTAACCGCTCATGCAAGAGTCAACCACATTACAGCTTCCTTCCCTAAATGACATTAGTGAACCAGATGGATTTCTCCCCAGCAATCAGGGGACTTTTGATTCCAATATTTTATTGAATTCAAATTCCGCCAGCTGCTGTGGCAGGATTCGAACTTAGGTCCCTGGATTTAATAGTCTAGTGATAATACCACTGGGTCACTGTCCCCTGTAGATCAATCTTGGATGGAAGGATGGATGATACACATGCGCATTGATAGAAAGCAAGAAAGCTCGCTAGATAGATTGATAGAAGGACAGATAGACAGGAAGAAAGAAAGAATCCTTACCCTCGAGAAAGAGGCTATTCGGTCCATCGAGTCTGCACCAAACCTTCGAAGAGCAACCCACCCAGACTCATTCCATCTCCCCAAACCCGCATTTACCATGGCTAATCCACTTAGCCTCCACATTTTGGACTGTGGAAGGAAACCTACACACACACGGGGAGAATCGGAAGCAGAGACATATAGGTAGACCATAACTATGTTTTATTCAACTTGTTTTTTCAGATGTGACTAACCTGTCCATTCCCAAGGTTGCTGCCCTTAGGTCCTATTTAATATTTGTTCTTTTTCTTTCCGGTGAAATGTTTAAGAAGTAGCAACATTGTTGCTGCGTGTCCACAGGTAAACCCTAATGGTTTGTTGTATCGAATCTAGAAGACTATCGGACACGTGTAACACAATGTTTATTTGAGACAAAATATATTAGGGAAGTAGAACAAGTCTACAAACCGCTTTTTTTAAAAAAACGAAGATAAGCTTAAGGTTTGAGGTATCCCTATAGTTCTTCGGGAATCTAATTTTGAAAAAACAAGGCTCTAACCCAAAGGGTTATTTTGAGTTTTGCATGCTCGCCGACCAGTCTGTGTAAATCAGGAATTCTCGGTGTTACATTTGCACTTAGGCATAGTTAGCGGCTATTCGGTCCACCCTCCAATTAACCTCCTTGCCCACCGCTTCTCCAGTCCCCATATATTTTGGCCTTCTTTTAATATCCAGCTCGTTATATTTTTGGTAAGCTAAAATTTATTGAAGGTTTGCTTTTAAAATCTTATCATGGTTTTTTTTCTGTCTGTTCAACAGCAATGATATTCTGAAGATACCTTCTTCCTACACCGGCAAGAGGCTGTTGGCAAGATTGTGGAGTGATTTCGAGAACTCCCACTCTCGTTAAGGCGAATACTTACCATCCAAAGTTGCTACGGTTTTTATAATAAAAACGTTCGGCAGAATTCTGAGATATTGTCTTCCACAAAAATCGCTTTCTAGAGATTTTACTCGAAAGGTGTTATTTAAATCTAAAAGCGCCGTTTAAAACTATATATGCAATTTTTGCGGAGGCCCTATTTAAATACCACCCCCCCCCCCCCACCCCCTGTCTTCAACATAAATGCCACCTTTTCCTTGCTACGATCAGCCCTCAAGAAAGGTCACTGGACTCCAAACATAAACTGTACTTTCTGTCCACAATTGCTGCTAGACCTGCTAATTGTATCCAGTTATTCTGTCTTTGTTTCAGGTCTTCCACGTCCGCAGTTCTTAGTTTTATCCTATTTATATGGATTTGTACATATGTGCGTGTTAACGGTGTATATATGCTTTTACATCTAAATATCTAAATGCATGTCTGTTTCTGGCGATTAAACGCCCCTTAACATTCAAGGTCAAAACGCAAGCTTAAAGGATCCATATAAATCCACAAAGTGGCGGTGCTTTATTAATGGAAGGGAGTAGTGTTTGACTAATTCAGAGATAATTTGGGAAGGAGGTGGGGTGTGCTGTCTCTCTGAATTTCTCTATTGTTTAGAACAAAACACTGACACGTGGATCAAGTTGTACTTGGGGACACAAATGAACACCCGGCGACGCGTCTATCCAGCCTTCCGCTGAGTCCCAAGACAACAAAATGTGCAGCAGCATTGGCTACAATCGAGGGCTAGATCAGCTGACAGTATTAATTCCAGGAATTCCCCACTCGATCTCTCGCAGACACCAGTAGCTTCGTCTCCCCTGCCCGCGGCTATCTCTCCTTGTCTTGCAAAAGGGATTTACATACCCCATATCTAGGCTCCTTTTTTTTTTGCTTATGGTTATTTTAGTTTCTTTTTGTTTGAAGTTATCATTTATGAAGAAAATTTCTGCTGTAGTCCGAAATACAATGCTGCTGGAACATCCTGGACCTACAAGCTGCCCGAAATCGACAGAGCGCCCACGGTTTAACGGCGGTGCAGGTGAGATGGGTTTCGCTGTTTAACTGCCCTGAGTTCCAGCGCATTCAAATGGCACTGCGTAGAATATATTGTTGGATCTGTCCTTCTTTTTAAGAAAAGAGAAGCGAGTTTCTCAATCATTACCATTTGACGCCTCTTTAAGCAACCACTTTCACTCAATTTCACCCCTCCCCCACCCCCAACCGGCAGCGCATCCTTTTCTCAATTTGATAGTTTATCTGAGGGTGTCTGTACACCGACGCACAGCTAGACCTAACTGTCCTGCACTAAGATAACAAAAAAAGCCCTAATGTGTCACTCAATATGTAGAGCGTGGGTTCCCCGCGTTAGAACTTCAGGACTGTAATGTTGCACGTTTCTCTTTATTTCTTTATTTTTTTCAATTTATACCTAATATTTTGTACCTAGGTATCTTTGTACCTAAGATGGCGCCGGAAATGGCGACTTTGTACACTTTTCGCTATACTTGACAATAAACCTAATTCCAATTCTAATTCTAAAGAGAGAGAGGGGGAGAGGGAGAGAAAGGGGGCGAGGACGCGTTTTTCATGCGTTTCCAACAGTCACGCAGCCTTTTGTAGACAACATCCCAACGCCGTTGTAATCTGACACTCGATATTAAACCCTCTGCTATCCCTTTCACTATGAATATGAAACGAGGATGTGTACTTTCAGAACATTTAATACGCTCAGAAATTTCACAATAGTGTGCGCATAGTCTCTGGGTTGCGTGTCATTTTAGTCACCTGCCAGTATGAAGACAAGGTACTGTTTGTTAATTTTATTATTTTTTGAAAAAAAACAAGATGAATTGTAACTTTACCCGCTCCCCCAACCCTCCTCTGATCCCTGGGTAAGCAGCACACGTTATGAATATGTAATGAAGCTCATTGTTATAGGAAATTGTATCAACAGATGTACAGCGCGTGTCTGGGTTGAGTCCGTCAGTACAGGCACATCATTCATAGTCAGCATCCAGGACTGGTCTTCTGTAACCCCCGCACAGTAAGATCTCAACCGGCCGTCTGCCCCTTTGCCCGCTTTCCCTAGTCTCCCCAAAGCAAGCTCTGACCTGGAAGGAGGGAAGGGAAGGGGCGCAAGGGGCCGGGGAGATTCCTCAGCTCAGGCGCTAGTCTTGCCAAGGAAACACATTTCGATTCCCGTCCTTGACCGAACTGACTCTGTCAAGTTCTTCAGCTTTTGGGAATGGAAGGGTGCATTGGGAATTGACAAACACTGCCGCCCGCCCCCTCCCCTTCACATCCCTTTGCATCCAAACTTTCACACCCACGTGTGTTGTCTGTGTGTGTTTGTGTGTGCCGTTGTGTGTGTGTGTGTGGATGGGTGTGTGCGTGTGGGGGGTTGATGTGTGTGTGTGGGTGGATGTGTATGTTTGTGAGTGTGTGTATGGGCGTGTGTATGTGTGGATGTGGGTGTGGGTGTGTGTGTGGGTGAATGTGTGTGGGGGGGGACGTGTGTGTGTGTATGTGTATGTTTGTGAGTGTGTGTATGGGGGTGTGTATGTGTGGATGTGGGTGTGTGTGTGGG